GAAAGAGATATAAGCTGGTGAGGTGCCTTCCGGGGCAGAGGACCGCAGCGAACAGGTGGTATATCCACTTCAGGGATGCTGCACGTGAGTTCGGCATGGAGGACGACGTGATGCAGCCTACCCTGATGAAGCTAGACAGGGAGCTCTACATAAGCTTGCACGTGGACGACCTCCTCATGGTCGGCACAGAGGAGAACAGGAGAGAGTTCATGGAGTTCCTGAGTGACAAGGACTGGAAATGTGAAGTGCAAGGGCCATTTGACATTGGCGAGAGCTTCGAGTACCTCAAGAGGAAGATTGACCGGACCTACGAGGGCTTTGTGATCAGGCCGGACCCCAAGCACATCGAAGACATAGCACAGAAGGCCGACATTAAGATTGGCAACTACAAGAAGACCCCCGCGAGGAGCGACCTTGGGAAAAGAGATGGCAGTGCAGAACTGTCGGAGGTGGAAACGTCGCAATTCAGGTCGATTGTGGGGAAGATGCTGTACATTGGAGGTGAACAGCCTGACTGCCAACACGCCATCAATGCCTTGGCGGCATGGATGTCAAAGCCTACGAAGACGGCGTGGAGGCATGCAGAGCACTTGGCAAGCTACTTGGTGGCCACGGAGTTCTACGGCTTGCTCATCAAGAGCAGCAAGTGCGGGAAGTCCATGCTGGACATGAGAGAAATGCAGGATGTGGAGGTGAAGAAGGTGCACTTGCTGGAGGTCGTGACGGATAGCGACTACGCCGGAGATCAGAACTCCAGGAAGAGCATCACGAGCTTCCAGGTGTTCCTTGATGGCAACCTCATGGAAAGCAGAGTGAGGAGTCAGAAAAGCATCTCACTGTCAAGTGGTGAGAGCGAGTACGTGGCCATGGTGTCAGGATGCAGCGAAGGACTTTTCCTTCGGCATGTGTGGTCCTTCATCAGGGGACACACACCAGCCCTGGTGTGCAGGTCAGACAGCAGTGCAGCCAGGGGGATGTGCAGCCGTGTTGGGATTGGCAGGACGCGTCACCTTGACGCGGTCATGATGTGGCTGCAGCAGAAGTGCCACGAGAAGGTGATCAGGGTGACGGCCATTCCGACGAGCATCAACAGCGCGGACATTGGCACCAAGGCCCTGGCACGCGCCAGAATGCGTGGGCCAATCGCGAGCTTGGAGATGACGAGTTCCACGAGATCGAGCGCAAGATGATGGCAGACAAGGGTGCCAAGAAAATCCTGGGCACCTTGAAAGGCGAGTATCGCATGGCTCTGGTGGTTGCTTTTGCCAACTTGGTTGCAGCCAACGGAGCTAAGGAGGAGGAAGAGCCCAATGGAGCGGGAAGTGAAGACTGGAGTTGGATTGTGCTGGCCATTTTGGCCGGCATTGGAGCCTTGAGCCTGGTCAGGTGGCTATGGCTCTCCTTCATCATGTGGATCAAGAAGGAGATCAAGCGGATGCCCGAGAAGGCAACGGCCCGGGACTTTGAGGATAGCGAGCCGGAGGTGAGCGAGGCACGAAGGCCTAAGCAGGCCAGACTCCGGCACAAGACCATCCGGGTCACGGCAACGGGCGCCGTTTTCCACACGCATGAAAGGTGCCCCCACTACAAAGGTGGGCGGGCGCTTGGACAATGTGCCAAATGCTGTGGGTATGAAGGCAGCATGTCAGACTAGCATTTGGATTCAATCACACCCACAGCATGATGCACGGTTTGACATTTCATGAAACCGATTGCCATACAGGCTCCAACTTTACTGGAGGTAAAAGAACCGCTGCCCGCTCGACATGTTTGCAAGAAACTTTCCTGGCACGGGATTGTTGTCCCAACCAACCGTACGTGAAAAGGCTTCCTTGTGCTTTCGGTGTCTTCTGTGCTGCTTGTTGTTCCCCACATCTTTGTGTGGGGTTCTTACTTTTTCCGCTCGTCGTCCGCGCGCCGCGTCTCCTCCTCCTCCCGCTCGTCTCCGTCACTCACTCACTCACTCACTCACTCACTCACTCACTCACTCACTCACTCACTCACTCACTCACTCTCACTCACTCACTTACACTCACTCAACTCACTCACTCACTCACACTCACTCACTCACACTCAGTCACTCACACTCACTCACACTCACTCACACTCACTCACTCACACTCAGTCACTCACACTCACTCACACTCACTCACTCACACTCACTCAAACTCACTCACTCACTCACTCACGCTCACTCACACTCACTCACTCACACTCACTCTCATTCACTCACTCTCATTCACTCACTCACTCACTCACTCGCTCACTCACTCACTCACACTCGCTGACTCACGGCAGCTGTCTAGAGGGACAGGATGTTGTCGCGCGCGCGGCGGGGGGTGTGCGAAATCGTGGCAGGCGCAGCACTTTGGCGATGCCGTTGCGAAATCGTGGCAGGCGCAGCACTTTGGCGATGCCGTTGCCGAAGTCGTGGCAGGCGCAGCATTCTGTGCATCTGGGTGTGTGTTTGTGTGGCAGGGGTCGCATTCGGCAGCTGTCTAGAGGGACAGGATGTTGTCGCGCGCGCGGCGGGGGGCGTGCGAAATCGTGGCAGGCGCAGCACTTTGGCGATGCCGTTGCGAAATCGTGGCAGGCGCAGCACTTTGGCGATGCCGTTGCCGAAGTCGTGGCAGGCGCAGCATTCTGTGCATCTGGGTGTGTGTTTGTGTGGCAGGGGTCGCATTCGGCAGCTGTCTAGAGGGACAGGATGTTGTCGCGCGCGCGGCGGGGGGTGTGCGAAATCGTGGCAGGCGCAGCACTTTGGCGATGCCGTTGCGAAATCGTGGCAGGCGCAGCACTTTGGCGATGCCGTTGCCGAAGTCGTGGCAGGCGCAGCATTCTGTGCATCTGGGTGTGTGTTTGTGTGGCAGGGGTCGCATTCGGCAGCTGTCTAGAGGGACAGGATGTTGTCGCGCGCGCGGCGGGGGGCGTGCGAAATCGTGGCAGGCGCAGCACTTTGGCGATGCCGTTGCGAAATCGTGGCAGGCGCAGCACTTTGGCGATGCCGTTGCCGAAGTCGTGGCAGGCGCAGCATTCTGTGCATCTGGGTGTGTGTTTGTGTGGCAGGGGTCGCATTCGGCAGCTGTCTAGAGGGACAGGATGTTGTCGCGCGCGCGGCGGGGGGCGTGCGAAATCGTGGCAGGCGCAGCACTTTGGCGATGCCGTTGCGAAATCGTGGCAGGCGCAGCACTTTGGCGATGCCGTTGCCGAAGTCGTGGCAGGCGCAGCATTCTGTGCATCTGGGTGTGTGTTTGTGTGGCAGGGGTCGCATTCGGCAGCTGTCTAGAGGGACAGGATGTTGTCGCGCGCGCGGCGGGGGGCGTGCGAAATCGTGGCAGGCGCAGCACTTTGGCGATGCCGTTGCGAAATCGTGGCAGGCGCAGCACTTTGGCGATGCCGTTGCCGAAGTCGTGGCAGGCGCAGCATTCTGTGCATCTGGGTGTGTGTTTGTGTGGCAGGGGTCGCATTCGGCAGCTGTCTAGAGGGACAGGATGTTGTCGCGCGCGCGGCGGGGGGTGTGCGAAATCGTGGCAGGCGCAGCACTTTGGCGATGCCGTTGCGAAATCGTGGCAGGCGCAGCACTTTGGCGATGCCGTTGCCGAAGTCGTGGCAGGCGCAGCATTCTGTGCATCTGGGTGTGTGTTTGTGTGGCAGGGGTCGCATTCGGCAGCTGTCTAGAGGGACAGGATGTTGTCGCGCGCGCGGCGGGGGGCGTGCGAAATCGTGGCAGGCGCAGCACTTTGGCGATGCCGTTGCGAAATCGTGGCAGGCGCAGCACTTTGGCGATGCCGTTGCCGAAGTCGTGGCAGGCGCAGCATTCTGTGCATCTGGGTGTGTGTTTGTGTGGCAGGGGTCGCATTCGGCAGCTGTCTAGAGGGACAGGATGTTGTCGCGCGCGCGGCGGGGGGCGTGCGAAATCGTGGCAGGCGCAGCACTTTGGCGATGCCGTTGCGAAATCGTGGCAGGCGCAGCACTTTGGCGATGCCGTTGCCGAAGTCGTGGCAGGCGCAGCATTCTGTGCATCTGGGTGTGTGTTTGTGTGGCAGGGGTCGCATTCGGCAGCTGTCTAGAGGGACAGGATGTTGTCGCGCGCGCGGCGGGGGGCGTGCGAAATCGTGGCAGGCGCAGCACTTTGGCGATGCCGTTGCGAAATCGTGGCAGGCGCAGCACTTTGGCGATGCCGTTGCCGAAGTCGTGGCAGGCGCAGCATTCTGTGCATCTGGGTGTGTGTTTGTGTGGCAGGGGTCGCATTCGGCAGCTGTCTAGAGGGACAGGATGTTGTCGCGCGCGCGGCGGGGGGCGTGCGAAATCGTGGCAGGCGCAGCACTTTGGCGATGCCGTTGCGAAATCGTGGCAGGCGCAGCACTTTGGCGATGCCGTTGCCGAAGTCGTGGCAGGCGCAGCATTCTGTGCATCTGGGTGTGTGTTTGTGTGGCAGGGGTCGCATTCGGCAGCTGTCTAGAGGGACAGGATGTTGTCGCGCGCGCGGCGGGGGGTGTGCGAAATCGTGGCAGGCGCAGCACTTTGGCGATGCCGTTGCGAAATCGTGGCAGGCGCAGCACTTTGGCGATGCCGTTGCCGAAGTCGTGGCAGGCGCTGCATTCTGTGCATCTGGGTGCTCTGTAATCGCATCCATACAAGGGGCGCACGGTACATGTGTGTGGACATTTGGGAAAAACATAGCATGTGGGGTTATCCGGTCCTTTAATTTTCCAAAGACCTCATGTGTGTCAGAATCAATGAATGGGGCCATAGGTGATTGGGTTCATGTTGCCTGTGCTGAGTATCTCATCCAGGTAGCTTCAGTTGGGCTGGATGGTTGTAAAACTGCCACTCATTTTTTCGCCTCATGCTCAACCGGGCTGACCCCCGGTTGAAGATCAAGGTAAACTGCCCAGAGCCACTGCCCAGAGCCACTGCCCAGGCTTCCATGGATACAGCCTACCTCTGAAGTGGCTTGAGCATCCAAGCCGGCAGCTCTTGGGCCTCTGGAAGCCAAGGACCTGTGGCTCCGCCTGCCGCTACGTGAAGCGCAAGGGCGGGTGCCGAGAAGGGCAGCTCGGAAGCATTCTGTGAGCTTCACCCTCACCCACTTGCCCAAAGCGAATGGGGTGGTTCCAGAGGTTGCTGGTGAAAACAACACCCCCCCCCCCTCCAAATACATATGGGGAGCTCAAAATCGCATTTGCCCTCGTGGGGATATAACTAGGGGCCCAACTTGTTTGGTTTCCAACTCAGCTAGCTCATGTGTCTTCCCGGCGGAGAACCGCCCGGCTGGGGCCAAACTTGTTTTGACTCACAGCCACCTGCTTAGCCTCATGGTACTGCCAGTCCTCAGTTTGGGCAACTTGTTTTGGGTGACCCCTAGAGTTCCATTTGTGGGGACCCCCACCCCCCTCCTCCTGAAGGTAGGGCGGATTTCAGGACCCTGGTTCCACGTCGGCGGGCGGGACTACCAAGTGTGGTGACAGGGTCGCTGTTTTGTGTGGGCTCCGCGAATAGTCGGATGCCTTCACCTGGAAATCGGCGTCAGGTGAGCTACGATCTTGGTGAGCGGTGTGTTGATTGTCATTGCTGTAAAGGGAATGTAGTTGGGTACGCTCCTCAAATTCGCATTGGCTGAAGTTGAAGCTTGTCCGTGTGAGAAAGAGCCAGGAGATGCCGGGAGTATTCACCGCTTACACCCCCTCTTCCACTTCTAAAACTGTGATCCTAAAGGTAATTTATGAAGGAGTCAGAAGGGGAGTTGGGTTTGGGGGCATCTTTTTCCTGAGGGCTGATTTGCTTTGGGCTCCAACTCCTGTCTAGTGAGGTGATGCTGTGCCAGCACTAAGTCAAATGAAGCTGAGATAGATGAAGCATGCCTGACTTCTTGATCAAGACCGCGATGCATTAAGCTGAGTGCTGAATGTCCCATCATGCTCAGCTTTCCGGATAGATTGCACGAACCCACATGGCCTCAACATGTGGTCAATGCCGTTGGCGTTCCGTCCGAAACTTGAACAAGTAGCTACGGGCAGCCGTCAAACTTCCAAGACTCAAATCCGCGAACTTGCTACCTTGGGATCGGTGTGGGTGGGAACTGGGAAGCATTGAGGGTTGTCAGGGAGGATACAAGGATGAAAAGCCCCTAAAGGACAATAAAGCCATGCCCCATCAGCTTTACTTGAGCGGTCGACCGCATTTGCTTTCTGTTGTGGGGAATATCATGCGCCGAGGGGCAAAACGGCATTTTCAAAGCGACGGTTGCAATTCTCGCTGGGGTGGGCCTTTCCCTCAACCAGCTGTATATGTTCAGTTATTCCAGGCAGAACTGGCAACTTTGTTTGCCTTGCATGTGGCGGAACGTCAGTTCGCTGAGGACTCTTTGCTTGAGCTGTCACCTGTGCTTCTGGGTGCGAGACAAGGACAGCAGTCAGGTGACCTCCAATAGCTTTTGGAGGCAAACCCATGGAGCACCCCAAAGTGGGAATAAGTGACGCCATGACAGGCGCAACTGGTTTTGCCACGACTCAATTTGGTGCTGAAGTTGCGTTGCCCTTCGTTTTGCGGGCATGTTGGTGTCGGCAGCCCCGGTATGAGACGTGTCATGCGAACACCTTTTGCACATGTCCTGTTCCTGGCAGTTCTCGGCCCTTCCACGTCCCAGGAGTGCAGGCGCTTCTGTCCCAGGTCCCTTCTGTCCGTCAGGAGCCTGCAGCTGGAAAAGCCAAGCCGGAGGCG